TCGGCAATCCAGTGATGACGTTTCAGCCATGGGGCTAAAACGCCAGAAGTCACCAAATAAACCAAATCTGTGACGAAATTCGTTTCAATCATATGGGCAACCAAATGATAGACCTCGAAATCTCCATAATCCCCCAATAAACTCCATGTTTTTCTATATTTTCTACCCTCTGGTAATTTAACATAGCTATTGAAAATGGCCATAGAAATAGTGGATTTTCCCATTAAAAATGGTGATTTCCCATAGTTATGTTAGTTTACCAGAGGGTACCATTTGAGGATGGTTTTGTAGTGATTTTGAGAACCTGAAAATCCTGGAGACATTCCTTCAGACGCTGTTAGACGATCTGAGCGGCCAGATATCCACAGCAGATCCATAGATTTCCTGGGCATTGAGGGAAGCCCCGATTGATGTTCAGCAAGCAGGGTGAAACTCATCGAACTTTACATCACTTTACTGCTAAAGTTGAAGAACGATGAGGTCCATGAGTCGCCGATTTTGGCGATATTTTAGCGATATGACCATTTGAACGGTTCTTCGGGGATTGATGCTTTCCACACCCTCAGCCTTCAAGATGGTGACATTTGGGGTTGTCTCAAAGTGGATGCATGAACATGTTGGTGCTATCAACTATCAATTTTGGATGGTAAACCTGATACATTATGAAGCCTATCAAGCCCAAAACTGTACATCATTTTATATCACCAACATATATAAATAGTAATATAAATACCCTCTGGTAATTTGTAACATAGCTATTGAAAATGGCACATTTAAAATTTAGTTCCTTGATTTACCTGTTAAAAGATGGTGATTTTCCATAGCCATGTGAGTCTACCAGAGGGTAATCAACCCTATATCCAGCCGGTCCGTCCAGCCGGTCCGCCCTCGCGCACCTTCCGCAGAATTCGCTCCGGAGCCATGTAGCAGCGTCGAATCATCTCGCAGGGGAAGCCAGGAAAAGCATTTGAAATTGATTCTGCTTGGAAGTGTGGTTGGTTTTGGTGACGAAAATTTGCTGCGCCCAAACATAGCAAGTTTGGAAGAGGGAACATGATGAACCAGTGGATTTCTCGTCGATTTACCAGTGCTTTGGGTGACCTAAGTTGGTCTGGGTGTGTCTGAAAATGACGATATCGCAGTTCACGGCCATGGAGTGGGAAATGTTCTGATTATTAGACATCAAATGTGAGGATAAATGATAACATTCCCCACATTTCCCCACCTTTCCAATCATGACATATCATAACATTCCCCTATCGTTTTCAAGTGTCCTCTGAAAAATCAAGTGTGGCGTTCGCTGGAACATCCCCGCACGCCGAACTGGAGTTTTGTTTTCCGCGCCGGGACGCTTTCATCGAAACGGTTGACATGGGGAAAAACACCAGACATCAAATCGGGAAGCCATGGCCTAGTTTAGTTCGATGATTGAACTAAAATTGGTGATCATAAATGGAAATACTATAGGGAAGCCATTGGCCTAATTTATCATAGCTATTGAAGATCATCATACTTCCTCAATTGGTGATCTTCAATAGCTATGATAAATTACTCAAGGGTAAGTGCAAACAAATCCCACTGGTATCATCTGGCTATTTTTCAGAGTTTGCGAACTGGAAAATCACCCATGAAAAAAAATGATAGTTGATGAACCTAAAAACCTGTGTCAAGTGATGATTTTCCTATCTCATGCTGTCTCCCAGTTGCACGCCACCAGGTGGCACCTCCCGCCCTGAGGACAATCGCTCATTGTTCTCCTGGACCGGTGCTAGCGATGGCGGAAAGGCGAAGAAGATCATCAACATCATAAATATGAGACTTGCCAAATATTGGTTTCCATATATCATTGGTTTCCAAATATTTTTGGTTTCCATATATAATTGGTTTCCATATTATTGGTTTCCATCTATCATTGGTTTCCATATATCATTGGTTTCCAAATCATCACAATATCTACAAATCTTGATGGTTTTCCATTGGTTTCCCAAATCTGAGACTTGCCCATAAATCTAAGAGAAAACCAAAGATCTTGAAAATGGCCAACCACAAATATACGGTGTGTAGATATAGTATACACATGAAACACTCGAAATCAATGACCTCACCTTACTGACCATTAGTGATAGTGATATACGTAATCCGTCAAACAACTATCTATCTCTCTCTATGTATATATATAGATATATGATGTATTGACTTCATACCATCCCTTTAATACACTCATTGAACAACCACGGTTGCTTGGGGTGGTAAGTAAACAGACTAGTGAGTATGGGCTTAGTTTCTCCAGTTACAACAGTGATAACCCCCCAAGACTCATAGACCTATCAAGTAGGGGTTCTTCATCACTTGCTCCTTGGGATGCTTGGCAAAAAAAAAAAAAAAATTCTTGCTACTTTGAGACAAAAAGCACCAAAAGCAGTGATATTGAATGTTGTGTGAATATATATATATACATGTCTAATAGTAATTCACTAACCTGAAAAGTAGGGCTATATTGGGACAGTTATCCCTACTAACCATCATTCCAGTGATGGAAAACAGTGAGGTCGTTGTAATTTGCCCTGATATATATATATATATACACCCTCTGGCAATTTAACATAACTACTCAAACTCACAATTTTGTATCGGTAATCTATAAATGGGCCATTGTCAATAGCCATGTTAAATTACCAGAGGGTGTATATCTATCTATCCGTCCGTCTGTCTATCCATCCATCCATCTATCTATCTATCTATTTATCTATCTATCCATCTATCCATCCATCCATATATCCATCTATCTATATACACACACCTATATTTATAATATCTATATATATATAATTATATATGATCATTTAATATACATAAAATTATGTATATGGTATATTATCATTATCATTATTATTATTAATGATATATATATATAGTTATGTATATGGATGTTTCCTAAAATATGGCCATCTCCATCTCCTGCGGCGTGTACGCCATCGCCGGGGCATCCAAGGACCGCCCGTGTGCCTAGCGGAAGTCGCTCGGATTTCTGGTATCTGATAGGGAATCGCCCAGGTGGCCACCGCAGGGATGGCTGAAACCCTATAAAAAATGGGATGTTTACCACCATAGACCCACTGACTATAGATATATCTACAATGAATAAGAGAAACATGTTGAAACCCTATAAATCATGGGATAAACCACCTATCAACTGGTGATTCGGATTCCGCAACCATCCACAGGATGTATATGTAAATATAGTTGACCCATGTTTACCCCCCAAAAAAATGGCTATCATTTAGCAGCTATGACTTGGAGAAACCCTGTCTGGTAGGATGGAAGCATGGCTGAAAAATCAAATGGCTTGTTGGGAAATGAACAACGATCTGGATAGAGAATTCACTAAGCGAAACTGCCAGGCCATGCAGTGGATTAGCCTGACTGACAAAAATGAGGTCTAATTCAAATTCAGCCAGATCTATAAATTGCCCATGACATTTTATAGTAGAAATGGATCAAGCAGGATGATTTTCCATTGCCAGCACAGTCATGAACGATTGCCCACAGATACCCTCGTGCTGGGCGAGACCACGCATTTCCCGTCGAGATGGTAATCCAGGTGAGCCAGGTACTGATGTGATTGGAACAAAAATTGACCTATATATATATATAAGTATATATGTATATACTTATATGTTATATATATATAATTGTATGTTATATATATATATGATGTCACCCTATAGCGGCTGTTTTTTTTGACATGTTTGACTGGGGATGATTCCTGATTTCCCCTCGCTTGGAGTTGCCAGACATGGAATATCCAAGTGCGGCCAATCCTAGATGCCCTCCTCCAAAAGTATGTAGACTATGTTTTTGTTGATGCTTATTCATTTTCATATATTCCCACTACTTCCAATTGATAGTCAAAACTTCACATGCCTTAACATTAAGCTACTGTACACTTCTCATCCCCTTGCTTTCCTGGCTCAAGCACTAAAACCAACGTGGTTGCCGTTTTCTGGTTGGCAGTTGCTTCTAATAAAGAGCCACCCAAGAAATACCCCATCTCAGTTCCCTAAACAACGTGGATTCACATGGATGAACCAATGGCAAACCAGATGGGATTGTTTCTGGTTGGTGGGAGAAACCTAACCCCTCTGAAAAATCATGGAGTGAGTTCGTCAGTTGGGATGATGACATTCCCAAGTGTTTCTGGAAAGTCATAAAATTCCATGGTTCCAAAGCACCAACCAGATGGGATTGTTTGTTAGTTTTCCAGCAGCAAATCCAAGTTTTCAGTGAGTCTTCCGCTAGGACAACCCACGAGATCGCACAACTTGGCAGTGCCAGATTTGTCAACCAGCACCTCGGACGACGAAACGGGACGCAGCATAGCTGCTAGATCTATATCCATCATTTTACTAAGAGCTCTTGATGCCTTTATATATAATACATATATATATATATACATCAATAATCAACTGTATTTTGATCCATTTCAGTATCCTTTGATTTGAAAGGAATCATGTCAGAAAATGTGGGAATGTTCCATTGCCAGGGACTTTTCGGAGGGTTCAACCGTTCAACGTTTGAAAAAATCGATGCTAGTTTCTCCAAAGAACCTATATGGAGGTTTCCATAAATGGAGGCCCCGAATGGATGGTTTGTAATGGAAGATCCATTTATAAATGGATGATTTGGGGGTACCCCCATGACTTAGAAAACCTCCATATGTCATGCTCCAAATTGTCTCCAACAAATTCTTCATTCATTGTGCACATTCATTGCCAAGTTTAAAGCTCTGAAACTGTGGGATTCTCCGCTCCACAAAAGTCGATGCAATGGTGTGGCGTCTTGAGAAAACACATGGGGAAAAACAGAAGTCATCGTCATTATTCCTGGTGAACGTGATCAGCAGTTCTTGGACTCCAAAAATCCGTGTCCATTTGAACTGGCCCATCTGGGATGTCTTATATTCTTATGATGTCTTCCAAGCAGAAGCGCAGAAGCGGTTTCTTTTAGAACGCCAATTCCAGCTCAGACTCCACATCTAGGATGTCCACTTTGTACACCAGATCCGCATGGGGCGGAATCTGTTTTTCATCGCAGCCTTGGGCTCCGTAGGCCAAAGGCGCTGGCACTTGAATCGAAGCCAGTTCTCCAAGGGAGACTTGCTGAAGCCCAAGTTCTAAACCACGATCCTTGGAATCCTCAAATCCCAAGTGATATCCTCAGCTGGATCAATTTCACAAAGAAGGCAGAAAGAGAGAGAGAGAGAGATTCTTGCAGCATGACAGGAATTATCTAACACATATACCGACACCATGATTTTAACTATTCTAAAGATTTCTACAGTATATTATATTGCAGTATATTATATATAGTATACTGATGTATATTGTGATTATTTCTGATTGGCCTTAGTGAGTACTTGTCCTGCTGTGCTTGAAAGACCAACCTCAAGCTTGAATCGACTCAAGTGCTCTGATATTTCATAGCAGGACAATAAGAACTTCGACTCATCTTCATTTCAACCAAGTCTCGCAGCGGAGTTCCAGCTCGAGTGGAGCTTAAGACCTTGCCATTGTGAGAGAGTTCCACATGCATCGTGATCCAGTCCCCAAAAATGGGATAGGTGACGCCATCCTGGAAGGTCGAGTTTCACAACAAACAACGCCATGGGCGCCATAGGATCCACCATCCCGACTTACCATTTTGATGGGATTTCAACCATCCACATGAATCCACAGGGGTTTCATGTGTGATAATGTATCTAACCTAGGGGCGAGTCGTGTCTGCTTTTAGGGGGTTCAATGTATGACTAATATAGGGGGGACCAAATCAGAAGGACTGTCCGATACTGTCTTCAAAAGTCTTTATTTTGGTTAATCTTATGAGATATATCTTTTGTTAGTTTCCATAAGAATCCATCAGATATTTTGGTTACCATAAATCTTATGGAAGTAGATGAACACACATTTCAAAATGTGTCTTCGCAGGTCATGTGGTCGGGGTCCCCCGTTCCAAGCAAACCATACTTGGGATATCTTCAGTCATAGCATGTTCCAGGATCCCCTAGGGGACAGCACCAAACGATGACCGAACTATGATCCGAACGGGAGCCTTTGGGATCATTGGTTCCAATCTTCTGATATGGTAATTACGGTAGTTGATTTCGAATAGATGATACTAACAGCTCTAAATGTAGACCAGGGGGGGGTCAGTAAACCAGCACACCCTGGGGTAATACCTACAGGACCTTCCGAGAACGAGAAATGTATAGTTTGAAGGGGGGGGTTACACTCCCCCAATATACATTTTTTGGGGGTGGTGGATATTATTGTGTTGCTAATATTAGATGACTTTTCTGTTCAACAAAACAAGGATTTAACCCACGGGTACAAGAAGATGGGTCGATTCATTGCCCTCCAAAAATGGGGGGTTCTGCATGGTTTTCTCATTTCGTGCTTCATGCTGGAACCCCGTGGTAAATAAAGTCCTGGAAGCGAATTGTTGCTGTTGCCTACTGCCTGAAATCACCAAAAACCCTCCAGCGGGATGCATATTGCCAGCTAGAGATGTGTCGATTTCGCGCAAACACAAACTGCTCTGGGACAAAGCAAACCCAATCGGCAAACCATATTCATTGTGCTTGATATTCCAGTACCTGATTTTGCCATGGTTGATGTTCATAGTCCACTTCTGGTTGACTTCACTTGGTGGCTTGATTTTATCGAATCATTCACCGGAATATCGTTGAACATAGATTCGAGGTGAGTTTGAAGTTCTGAACTCTCACCCATATAGGATCCATGGTGCTGCTATATATGGTAACATTTGCCATCAATATACCCCCAATGTTAGCATATACCATACATGGATCCTATTGGGTCATGACATGAGTCATTTCTTGCGTGGTAAAATTCGTAAATCGAAAAAAGACGTTCATAGACGAGCGCGCCCAGCTTCCCCATTGCGAAGACGTTTCACGTGAACTTCCCGGGCACGCACCGCTTCAGTGGCTAGCAAGGTGATTGTCACATTCACCCGCTGCCCCGCCAGTGGATGATTCAAGTCTACCAGCCACTGATCCTTCTGCTGCTTCAGCACCACTCCTTGGAGTTGCTACGATTGGCTGAGGCTGAGGCTGTGTCTTTTTCCAAAAAGGGACTATAACAAATTACACTCCTTATCCGCCGACCCCGGCCGACGCAAGGGGGAGCGCGCCAGGGAATAAGACAAGCAAAGACAAGCAAGTTTAGGCACACCACCACCAGAAGCAGCAATCTAGCCGACCCCGGCCAGCAGCAGCAGCAGCAGCAGCAAGAACAACAACAACAACAATTAAACACAACAATGCTAACAACAACAACGAAACAAAAACAAACAACAAACAACAAAAAACAAACAACACCAAACACCAAACACCAACACAACAACATACAACAACCAAAAAAAAAACAACAACAACAACACAACAAAACAACAACAACAACAACAACAGACATACAACAACAACAACCACCACCAACAACTAACAACACCAACACCAACACCAACAACAACACCAACACAAACGACAAACACCAACACCAACAACAAAACAACAACAACATAAACAACAAAAAACATACACAACAACAACAACAACAACAACAACAACAACAACAACAACAACAACAACAACAACAACAACCAACAACAACAACCAACAACAACAACAAACAACAAACAAAACAACAACAACAACAACAACAAACAACAACAAACAACAACAACAACAACAACAACAACAACAACAACAACAACAACAACAACAACAACAACACCAGCACCAACAACAACAACAACAACAACAACAACAACAACAACAACAACACCACCACCACCACCAACAACAACAACAACCACAACCACAACCACAACCACAACCACAACCACAACCAACAACAACACACCATGACCCTTTGCCGGGGGACTCTCTTGGGTCCCCCTCCCACCGGTCACGTACCTCGATTCCTTGACTCCGGGGTTTTTGTTTCACCGGTGGGGGGTCCTTCCCGGAGTCTCCTCGAAGTACGTGGGGCTCCTTGGGTTGCCCTTCCTGCCCTGAGTTGCAGCAAACAACAATAACAAATAACACCAAACAACAACAAACGACAGGAAACAACAACCAACAACAACAAACCATGACCCTTTGCCGGGGGACTTAGCAGGCAGGAGCAGGCAGCAGCAGGCAGCAGCAGGCAGCAGGCAGCAGCCTATAGTGTATAGTCTTTAGTCTACATAATTAGGCAGCCGCAGCAGCAGCAGCAGCAGTAGCTGTTTCTTGCTTTGGAAGCTGTTTGATTGCCGTAGCACAACAGCAGCACCACAGCAGCACCACAGCAGCAGCAGCAGCAGCCACCAGCAGCAGCACCAGCAGCAGGCAGCAGCAGGCAGCAGCAGTAAGTCCAACAGGCACCAGTAGCAGCAAAAGCGTCTGCAGCAGCAGGAGGAAAAGGTAGCCAAAATTCATTTTCTATGGGTTTCAGAAGTTACGTTAGGCATTTTCGGGGTGCAATTTTGGGGCTTCTCCGTCCTTCAGAGGCATGGTGTTTTCCTGCCGGCAGGTGATTTTTTTCATGGTGTTTTCCATCCGGGAGCCAGCAGCAGCAGCAGCAGCAAAAGTCTGTGCAGCAGCAGGAGGAAAAGGTAGCCAAAATGCATACATAGCAGCAGCTACAGCTATACTACTACTATTATGGGTTTCAGAAGTTACGTGTCTGATGCTAGTACTATATTATGGGTTTCAGAAGTTACGTTAGGCATTTTCGGGGTGCAATTTTGGAGCTTCTCCGTCCTTCAGAGGCATGGTGTTTTCCTGCCGGCAGGTGATTTTTTCCATGGTGTTTTCCATCCGGGAGCCAGCAGCAGCAGCAGCAAAAGTCTGTGCAGCAGCAGGAGGAAAAGGTAGCCAAAATGCATAGCAGCAGGAGGAAAAGGTAGCCAAAATGCATAGCAGCAGCTACAGCTATACTAGTACTATTATGGGTTTCAGAAGTTACGCGGCCGCAGAACTCCATTCTGCACGCGAAACTGTTTCCCACACACGTGTCGGTGGTCGATATTTCCGGAAGCAATTGAAGTAGTAATAGATTTTTGGCGAAAAGGGCATGCGTACACGTGAAGCTTTTTTGTTGGCGGACTTTGCTCTGTCTTTTGGGATCGCATCCTCATGTGACTCATGTATATCTTTTTTTTGCTCGTCATGGTCTGGCTCGCATGATCATGTGTGCGTGCTTTCTTGTTTGCGGCGATTGCGTCCCATGTCTCCTCGATAATTTGTCTGCGGCGAAGTCTTCTCCGGAGAGGTTCTAGGCGGCCTGTACTAGGCCGGGAGCTACCTTTTACGAGCAGCTGCAGGCGACAGAATCTCTCGAAAAAGGCTGTTTTTCTAGGATGTCAGAAGTGACGTTAGGGACTTTGTTCGCGTGGTTTTGGAACGACACGTTAGGGAGTTTTTTGGCGTGGTTCTGGAACTTGCTCGTCTTTCAGAGCCATAGTGTTTTGTTGCCGGGAACTGCTTTTTTCGAAGCTGTTTGACCGGCATCAGCAGCAGCAGCCGCCGCCACCAGTCCTGCGAGCAGCCGCAGGCGACAGAATCTCTCGACAATCTCTCTCTCGACAATCTCTCTCGACAATCGAACAATGCTTTTTTCTAGGATTTCAGACGACACGTTAGGGAGTTTTTTCGCGTGGTTTTGGACCTTGCTCGTCCTTCAGAGCCATGGTGTTTTGCTGCCGGGAGCTGCTTTTTTCGAAGCTGTTTTACCGGCATCAGCAGCAGCAGCCGCCGCCACCAGTTCTGCGAGCAGCCGCAGGCAACAGAATCTGTCGACAAATGCTGCTTTTCTAGATTTCCAGACGACACGTTAGGGAGTTTTTTCGCGTGGTTTTGGACCTTGCTCGTCCTTCCGAGCCATGGTGTTTTGCTGCCGGGAGCTGCTTTTTTCGAAGCTGTTTTACCGGCATCAGCAGCAGCAGCCGCCGCCACCAGTTCTGCGAGCAGCCGCAGGCAACGCAGGCAACAGAATCTTTCGACCTTGCTCGTCCTTCAGAGCCATGGTGTTTTGCTGCCAGGGGCTGCTTTTTTCGAAGCTGTTTTACCGGCATCAGCAGCAGCAGCCGCAGGCAACAGAATCTCTCGACAAATGCTGTTTTTCTAGATTTTTCTAGATTTCCAGACGACACGTTAGGGAGTTTTTTCGCGTGGTTTTGGACCTTGCTCGTCCTTCCGAGCCATGGTGTTTTGCTGCCGGGAGCTGCTTTTTCGAAGCTGTTTTACCGGCATCAGCAGCAGCAGCCGCTGCCACCAGTTCTGCGAGCAGCCGCAGGTAACAGAATCTTTCGACCTTGCTCGTCCTTCAGAGCTATGGTGTTTTGCTGCCGGGGGCTGCTTTTTTCGAAGCTGTTTTACCGGCATCAGCAGCAGCAACCGTCGCCACCAGTCCTGCGAGCAGCTGCAAGCGACAGAATCTTCTTCAAAGCCATGGTGTTTTACTGCCGGGAGATGCTTTGTTCCAAGCTGTTTTCCCGCAAGCAGCTGCAGGCAACCGAATCTCTCGACAAATGCTTTTTTTCTAGGATTTCAGACGACATGTTAGGGAGTTTTTTCGCGTGCTTCTGGACCTTGCTCGTCCTTCAGAGCCATGGTGTTTTGCTGCCGGGAGCTACTTTTTTCGAAGCTGTTTTACCGGCATCAGCAGCAGCAGCCGCCGCGACCAGTTCTGCGAGCAGCCGCAGGCAACAGAATCTCTCGACAATCTCTCGACAATGTGCTGTTTTTCTAGGATTTCAGACGACACGTTAGGGAGTTTTTTGGCGTGGTTCTGGACCTTGCTCGTCCTTCAGAGCCATGGTGTTTTGCTGCCGGGAGCTGCTTTTTTCGAAGCTGGTTTACTGGCATCAGCAGCAGCAGCCGCCGCCACCAGTCGTGCGAGCAGCCGTAGGCGACAGAATCTCTCGACAATCGACAAATGCTGTTTTTCTATGCTGTTTTTTTGCTGTTTTTCTAGCACACACATTTTTTCTACCATTTCAGACGACACGTTTGGGGTGTTTTTTGGCGTGGTTCTGGAACTTGCTCGTCCTTCGGAGCCATGGTGTTTTGCTGCCGGGAGCTGCTTTTTTCGAAGCTATTGTACCGGCATCAGCAGCAGCAGCCGCCACCTGCGAGCAACTGCAGGCGACAGATTCTCTCGAAAAAAGCTGTTTTTCCAGGATTTCAGACGACACGTTAGGCAGTTTTTTAGCGTGGTTCTAAAACTTGCTCGTCCTTTAGAGCCATGGTTTTTTGCTGCCGGGAGCTGCCGGCAGGTGCTTTTTTCGAAGCTATTTTCCTGCGAGCAGCTGCAGGCAACAGAATCTCTCGACAAATGCTGTTTTTCTATAGAATTTCAGACGACCGGTTAGGGAGTTTTTTGGCGTGGTTCTGGAACTTGCTCGTCTTTCAGAGCCATAGTGTTTTGTTGCCAGGAACTGCTTTTTTCGAAGCTGGTTGACCAGCATCCGAAGCAGCAGCAGCCGCCACCAGTCCTGCGAGCAGCTGCAGGCGACAGAATCTCTCGAAAAAGGCTGTTTTTCTAGGATGTCAGAAGTGACGTTAGGGACTTTGTTCGCGTGGTTTTGGAACGACACGTTAGGGAGTTTTTTGGCGTGGTTCTAGACCTTGCTCGTCCATCAGAGCCATGGTGTTTTGCTGCCGGGAGCTGCTTTTTTCGAAGCTGTTTGACCGGCATCAGCAGCAGCAGCCGCCGCCACCAGTCCTGCGAGCAGCCGCAGGCGACAGAATCTCTCGACAATCTCTCTCTCGACAATCTCTCTCGACAATCGACAAATGCTTTTTTTCTAGGATTTCAGACGACACGTTAGGGAGATTTTTCGCGTGGTTTTGGACCTTGCTCGTCCTTCAGAGCCATGGTGTTTTGCTGCCGGGAGCTGCTTTTTTCGAAGCTGTTTTACCGGCATCAGCAGCAGCAGCCGCCGCCACCAGTTCTGCGAGCAGCCGCAGGCAACAGAATCTGTCGACAAATGCTGTTTTTCTAGATTTCCAGACGACTCGTTAGGGAGTTTTTTCGCGTGGTTTTGGACCTTGCTCGTCCTTCCGAGCCATGGTGTTTTGCTGCCGGGAGCTGCTTTTTTCGAAGCTGTTTTACCGGCATCAGCAGCAGCAGCCGTCGCCACCAGTTCTGCGAGCAGCCGCAGGCAACAGAATCTTTCGACCTTGCTCGCCCTTCAGAGCCATGGTGTTTTGCTGCCGGGGGCTGCTTTTTTCGAAGCTGTTTTACCGGCATCAGCAGCAGCAGCCGCAGGCAACAGAATCTCTCGACAAATGCTGTTTTTCTAGATTTTTCTAGATTTCCAGACGACACGTTAGGGAGTTTTTTCGCGTGGTTTTGGACCTTGCTCGTCCTTCCGAGCCATGGTGTTTTGCTGCCGGGAGCTGCTTTTTTCGAAGCTGTTTTACCGGCATCAGCAGCAGCAGCCGCCGCCACCAGTTCTGCGAGCAGCCGCAGGTAACAGAATCTTTCGACCTTGCTCGTCCTTCAGAGCTATGGTGTTTTGCTGCCGGGGGCTGCTTTTTTCGAAGCTGTTTTACCGGCATCAGCAGCAGCAACCGTCGCCACCAGTCCTGCGAGCAGCTGCAAGCGACAGAATCTTCTTCAAAGCCATGGTGTTTTACTGCCGGGAGATGCTTTGTTCCAAGCTGTTTTCCCGCAAGCAGCTGCAGGCAACCGAATCTCTCGACAAATGCTTTTTTTCTAGGATTTCAGACGACATGTTAGGGAGTTTTTTCGCGTGCTTCTGGACCTTGCTCGTCCTTCAGAGCCATGGTGTTTTGCTGCCGGGAGCTACTTTTTTCGAAGCTGTTTTACCGGCATCAGCAGCAGCAGCCGCCGCGACCAGTTCTGCGAGCAGCCGCAGGCAACAGAATCTCTCGACAATCTCTCGACAATGTGCTGTTTTTCTAGGATTTCAGACGACACGTTAGGGAGTTTTTTGGCGTGGTTCTGGACCTTGCTCGTCCTTCAGAGCCATGGTGTTTTGCTGCCGGGAGCTGCTTTTTTCGAAGCTGGTTTACTGGCATCAGCAGCAGCAGCCGCCGCCACCAGTCGTGCGAGCAGCCGTAGGCGACAGAATCTCTCGACAATCGACAAATGCTGTTTTTCTATGCTGTTTTTTTGCTGTTTTTCTAGCACACACATTTTTTCTACCATTTCAGACGACACGTTTGTGGGGTTTTTTGGCGTGGTTCTGGAACTTGCTCGTCCTTCGGAGCCATGGTGTTTTGCTGCCGGGAGCTGCTTTTTTCGAAGCTATTGTACCGGCATCAGCAGCAGCAGCCGCCACCTGCGAGCAGCTGCAGGCGACAGATTCTCTCGAAAAAAGCTGTTTTTCCAGGATTTCAGACGACACGTTAGGCAGTTTTTTAGCGTGGTTCTAAAACTTGCTCGTCCTTTAGAGCCATGGTTTTTTGCTGCCGGGAGCTGCCGGCAGGTGCTTTTTTCGAAGCTAGTTTCCTGCGAGCAGCTGCAGGCAACAGAATCTCTCGACAAATGCTGTTTTTCTATAGGATTTCAGACGACCGGTTAGGGAGTTTTTTGGCGTGGTTCTGGAACTTGCTCGTCTTTCAGAGCCATAGTGTTTTGTTGCCGGGAACTGCTTTTTTCGAAGCTGGTTGACCGGCATCCGTAGCAGCAGCAGCCGCCACCAGTCCTGCGAGCAGCTGCAGGCGACAGAATCTCTCGAACAAGGCTGTTTGTCTAGAATTTTTGGCGTGGTTTTGGAACTAGCCCGTCATTCAGAGCCATAGTGTTTTGTTGCCGAGAGGTACTTTTTTCGAAGCTGTTTTCTTCCGAGCCGCCGGAGGCCACAAATTCAAACTTATTTGACTGCCAGCAGAAGGACGAGTAACACCAGTAAATTAGAAGCTCTGCGGCAGCATCCGCGGCAGCAGCGGCAGGAGAAAGTTATGCTGGGATTTGAAGCCGACAAGACAGCTGGAACTGGTCGTTTGTCGTTACTTTGCATGCCATTGCGTTCGGGAGCACACGCGGCCATTAGATTGTTTGTGTTTGCATTGGATTCGCCCAAATTCTTTGGTGCTCTGGACGCAGGTTCCACAAGTAGGGCATGTGTGCGAAAAGTGCGTTGTCGGCAGCGTCGGCCGAAGAATGCCATCCTGCACGCGAAATTGTCTCCCACACACGCGTCGGTGGTTGACATGTCCGGAAGCAATTGACGTAGTAACAGATTTTTGGCAAAAAGGGCATGAGTACACATAAATCTTTTCTGCTGGTGGCTTTTGCTCCATTTCTTTGGGGCTTGCAACCTCATTTGTACTTTCTTTTTCGTTGGTCTTGGTCTGGCCATGACCTGTGCGTTTTTGTCTGTGTTCTGCGATCGCTTCCCATGTCTCGCGTAGCACTTGGGTCCGACGCAATTTTTTGCGAAGCGGTTCCAGTCGGCTTATGCTCGAGGCAGCCGCCCGCTTGCGAAGAACGGCTTGTGCAAGGACGGTGTGGCATGCGTTGCATATTTGTGTCCCGTCTTTGCCAGAAGGCCGCTTTCCAATAAAACCCGAAAATTGCAGCTGCGGTTTGCGTTGCTGACACACTGCGCACTTCCAAGAACCACGCGTTTTCGTTTGGCACTGCAAACACACTCTCCGTTTGGGCTCCCTAGCCGCCCACGCTGAGGCGCCGAAGTGTTCTTTCGTTTGTTTTCGGCGGCAAACAAAACATGCTTTCTTGGCATCGCACGACAGACAGACGCGATACATGCTCCATCGTGGATTTTGATGCTTGCTCGCAAAATGACACGCAGCATACCACAGGCCACACTGCGTGCATCGATAAGGTGTACCTGCCTCACGCTTCTGCGCAGTGCATTCTTTGCAGACCCGATAGGTCTCTTGTTTCCACTGTGCTTTGGTGAATGCGTCTTTGCGTTTCATCTCCCCACACTCTTGGCAAGGCCTTTCGTCTAAGTACTTCTTTCGCAACGCGTCCCAGTCCACCGGCTCCTGCTTCCACACGTCCAGAAGAAGTTGCCGTCCCAGTGGAAGGCCTTCTTGAAAAGGCGCCAGCGGGAACGGTCGGTAGATCAAGATCTTCTGCCGTGTGCGGCAGCGTGTCATCCCAATGTACGCCGCTATTGGGTCTGCGCCGACCATGTCAACAATCACGCCCGGCTCTATTGTGCTTCCTTGCGCACCGTAGAACGTGTCAGCGAAGTCGGGCGTGATGGGAAATTGATACCGAGTGACTTTCAATTGTGGGTTGGTGCGGCCTGCGTCTAGAAACCACTGTGCACTTTGTATGCTGACCGGGAAGACGTTCTCTTGATCGATGCCTGGAATTGTCCAACGTGTTCGCGTCTCAAAACGCACGAAGATATAATCGGGGAGTTTGTTCCATATTACTGTTCCATCTGCCGCCGCTGTTTCTGTCTGAATGCTTGACCACCCGCAAATGGTTCCATGACACCCTTTCAAAATCTTGAAATCTTTCCGGTGGAGGTGTTCCCGCGCTTGTACAGGCATATCAATGCACAGCGGAAGAATACCATACCGATTCCCGCAATCAGCATCGCTGCGTTGCAGCCATGTGAGCTTGTCTTGGGCGATGTCAGGCTTCTCGCGCAAAGCTCGCGATGATACCTTGTCCGTAGCTACTGCATAATAGATGATTTGCCCATGCTGCCGCGCCCATTGTTCCGCGCGAAGTTTATTCACATGGCACTTCACCCCGTTCGTGTGAAAAATGCCGCGCGCCATGCTGTACAAAGCGAGGATCGTTTGCGTCTACAGCAACTAGACGCTTGGTGTCCCGTTCAGCGCGACAGATTGGACATTCGTACTTGAGAATCGTTATCGCTGTGGACGCGTTTTTGTGCAACTGATAACATGTGTTTTCTTGACACATAGGCCGCTGAGTCCTAGCACACCAACTTCCTGGAACCTTTGTTGGTCGACCATGCAAAAATGCATGGTTGTCTTCGGACAAGCGCCCCACGCGAAGTTCTGCTTGCAGGTCTTGGAGCCACACGTCTTGGGTTCGCTCGCAGCGAACCAGTTCGGTCACTCCTTGTAAACCACCCTGCGCGCTGGAGGCCCATACGAGCTGTTGGCCTTGCAAACTCAATGGCAGCTTCTTAGATGAAACGCCTGTTACAAGATGCCAGGGGATTTGTCCGAGAAAAGTTCCACGCGGCGGAGGTAGCTGCCACAGGTCTCCCGACAGAATGACATTAAGCCCACCAAAGGGCGCAACACAGTTAGGATTCTGCTTACCGTATTTAGTCGCGGAGACATCTAAAACAAGCTGGCGACATCGGGCCTCGAGGCGTGCTAACATCTCGGCACTTACCATGCTGATTTCGTCGATCAGCAGCCAGCGCCACTGCACGGCATGTTGTGCAAGATCAAGAATCCGCTGCGCGTCGACGTTGTGATCGTTGCCGTGCCAAGCCAACCCCAATGCTTGATGCATAGTTTCGCCGTCCAAAGGCTCGGCATTGACAGCTTGAAATGCGACAACTTGAAATTCCTTTCCTGGCGTCCATCCAAGGCACTCCTCGAACAAATCGCGCCGTGCTATGTTCAACACGTATGACTTACCTGTACCTGGGCCGCCATGAAGCGCCCACCGCAACGCTTCGGTATTGGTGTCTGCCGCGCCGCCGCGCTCTTGTCCGGACACAGCTTCATGTTTCACCCGGGCGCAGATGTTTTCGATGAACGCTAGCTGTTCCGGGTTGCATTTGTTCGTTCCGCGCAAGTCGCGTAGGAAGGCATCAACTTTCTCACATGTTGCTCGTGCCTCGGCCTCGCATGTGCCCGGCGTCGGAATCTTTCGGACTACAGTTCTGTGGGCTTTTTTCGTGTTTAAAGCTTTGATGGCCCGACGAACTGCGGCCGGATCGTGTGCGTGGAACGCATTGTTGCTCTGCGTCTTTGTGTTCGTCACATTCTTATTGGTTGTTTTTGCCCATGTTGCTTCCGCTTGCGCCGCGGCTTCTTCGTAGCTTGCTAAGACTTTATCGTAAACTTTTGGACCTGGTTCTGCTTTATGTGCAGTGGCCCTTTTGCCAGTTTGCCGGAATGACGTTTTTAGAGCTGTCGGCAGGCTAGCGGGAGTAACTAGAAGCGGTTCATCAATGCCACTGTCGTCACTGTTCGCTTCCTCCGCACCGCTGGGATGGACACGGTAGACTGATAGGAAGTTGCCGGTGCACCGTTTTGTTTCTTCGCATGGCAAATGCGTCAACCACATGCGCAGAGCTTGTACCCAAGTTTCTGTTGGCGCTTTCAAACGGCCCACAAATGGAACATTGGCGCTAGCATTGTTCGCATCGAGGGTCCACGCGCGGAAATAGGTCATGGTCAATCTGGCGTTTACTTCTTCTTGACCCGCTTTCTGCAGGGGTACGGGCGAGTTCTCAAAGTGCGGGCAACAGGGGCGACGCCGACGTAGCAGATAACAACGGTGTCGGAGCTGTGCTGTTGCCGTTCCATCTTCTAAACATACTCGACCCGGCGTAGTTTGCACAGCTAGACAATAATGAGTCCCTGGTTGCAGGTGCAACTTCTTGTCGGGATCTGTTTGCTTTTGTATCAATTTGAGACCTGCTGCCGTCAACGAAACGTCCCAGCTACTACGCTCTTCCAATTCCCATTCACGTTGCGTCGTCGGTACACGAGCTATGGTGACTGCCCAATTGGCAACGAACTCATACGGTGACAGCCACCACACCTCTGCTGTCTTGGGCCGGTGCCCATAAACTTCTACAATGTCAAATGTTCCTAGGTGTCGGACACCAGACGCTTGCCTTTGAGTCCATTTCACGGCGCTGCGTCGCATGGACGATGCCGCATCATCTCCGTTGTGATATTTCGCAACAAAGTCCGCAAAAGCAGCCCCAGGGAAACTTTCGAAGGTTGTTGTTGCAATGCGTTCGGCTGAGACGACCGTGTCGTCGCGATGATAGGCGCGCAGATTACAACATTCGACCTGTCCTCGCACCACGCCTTTGAGATACGCATCGCTGAGGAATCGATTTGCATGTCGCTTGCCGAGGTCATCTAGTGGTTTCCGCGCATGCTGCGCATGCAACTGTTCGTGTCCTTTTTGGAATTCTCTGATTTCTCCATGTCCCATCGGCTGGCCCTTGGAGCAGTAATCCGCGCAATAGCCGGTTTGTGCGTCTTGCGCCCGCTGCGCCGCCAATGACATCTGCTGCCGTTCTTCCGCTGTCAATTGATCGCCGCAAGTTGGACATGAATATGGAAGCCGGTATGGCACCTGCACATCGCAATTTGCACCACGTAGTCCTGCCAACATTGCTGGTGCGCAGCCATTTAACCACTCGTGCCCACAGGGTCCATGCAAAGCTCCTAAGCGATTTTTTCGTCCACCGCTTGGCATCCCGTACGTTTTCAACTTGCAAGGACATAATACAGTAGGTTGCGCACACAGCCATTGCGTGCGGGGAAAATCACTCTTACACAGCCCTGGCCGATCACTCTTTTGGCAGCCTGCCAATGGGACGCGACCTTGGGTAGTTTCATTGTAAGGATGGTAGTGATGCTGTTTCAGAAGCTGCAGTTGGACGACATCTTCTGCCATGTAGCGCCTTCGCCAGTCTGCAGCTTCGTTTTGGGCGTTATCGGTTTCAGTAGCACGTTGCAGTTGATATGTCGGAACCGTTGTCATCGACACATCCAGCTCGTGCGTTGGCCAGGATGCTTCCGCAGCAGTGATGCGGCGTTCCATGTCTTCGTTCGATTGGCCCACATAACTTGCATGACACACATGCGCATTGTATGCTTCGTATTCTGCGCGCAACGCAGCCAACTTGGCGTGTGAAAGCCGGAAGATTTCCTCCAATGAAGTGTGTTGATGCAAACACTGCACAAACACTTGCATATGGCCATGTTCCGCCCCGCTGCTTTTCTGAGCTTCGAGAGATATATATATACTGCGTCCACGCGCCCGAATATGCCACCGTTTGCTTCTGCATTGCTGCCGCCAAGGTCTTGACACGGCTCCAATCCACTGAAGCGATTGCAATCTGGACAGTATGGACACACACGAACGCCGAAGAGATGCTTCAACATCAAATGTGTCAGTACCCGAAACCCATCCACAGCAGCCAACGGATCCCGCGCCAGAACTTCGCGTCGCTCTGCCCAAGACATCGGTAAAGTGAACTCATGCTCGAAAGGTCCCATGCGAACAGCATCATGCAATCCCAAATGCGGGAAAAACATTTGCCCTGCCGGGAAATCTTGCCCTATGGAGGCAGTGCGGACAGGGTCACAGGAGCGAACGCGCGTCATCCGCACAAAAAGCAGCTGATGCGCCTCATCTGGCGTAAATGTCACAAACAACGGTACTCCGTACCGGATACGCATGGCTTGAATCTCGAACCGCATCCTTTTCCGAGCTTCTTGGGTCCCAGGCAAGCCTTGGGCTGTATGGCGCATGTTGTTCAAAAGTTTTCGGGCCATAGGCTTTAGCCCTTGCACATAGCGGAGCTTCGCAACATCACCCTTGACGGGCCGTGGTTGTCCATTGACATCTATGTAGGAACCCTTCAAAGCAAGGAGCAATTGCTGAGCAGCCGCTTCGACATGGCGCCCTGTCGGTTGCACCCATTCTTGGATGTCCTCATCAAAGAATGTGCGGGAATAGGCGTCTGTAGTACGTGAAAGGTTCAGCGCAGATCGAAAAAGCAAATTCCAGGATGTAAAGCCAAAAACCCAGTCACGGCTGACTTGGGCTTCAATGCGCCGCGCCATTGCGCGCACCCACGTGTTCAGCTCCACATATGGATCATCTGCGTGTCTTCGTGGCCGTTGTCGCTGGCTCCACTTCGGAACGTCGGGTAAGCCAATGCCGTACGGGAAGACGAAGGGGGAAGCCAACGCAAAATATAGCGGCTGGAACTGGTCCAGAAGTTTGGTCCCAGTATACAACGTCACTTCGGGCAGAGGCTGCGCAGATGCTGGTTCACCGCCTGCCACAACCTCTTCCAATGCAGACACATGTTGAGCATTCACGTCTTGGCATCCAGCACTTGTCTTTTCCAGGACAACTGCATTGGGTTTCAGCATGTGACCAAATTCTCGTCTTGCTTCTTCGGCCGTCATTTGATCATTCACCGGTGTGGCAGCCTTTTGGCGCAATACCTGATCTAGACTCCCATCATTGTCAAGCAACGCAATGATTTCAGCCGGAACGTCATTCTCGGGGAGCATCTCAGCACGCGTTGCTACGACTGCCATGTCTAGACCCTGATATGCCGGATGGCTACGCGCAACCATGGCAGCAATGAGCCCTACAACGACCCGGCGACGAACCACGGCCTGATGTATAATTTGTTGACGTATTGCGTCTTTATCTGTCTTGTCACCGATTTTTATGATGACGGCTACCTTGTCACTTAGTTCCTTACCAACGTGCGGCAGCATATTCACGCAAGCGTTGGTGGCCGGGGTTCCCAGACGCTCAAATTCTGCTAACAGGTCTTCCCAGGGGAGCGGGAATGTCGTGGCATTCCCCTTTGCACACAGACGATGTCGATTCATGAGCGCATCTTGGGCTAGACTGCGATCTTGGAGATATCGCCATTCAATGCTGAAACAAGTTAATGCAGTCATGCAAGGACTTGCGCATAATAATTCCAACATCGTGCATTCTTGTGCATAGAGTTCTCTCGGCGGATGCCCCAGGAACAAGTCGTTGCTCAGTGCCTCTAGCGGCTTCATTCTCTGTCGATATATCCTGGTGCGGCAAGACGTGCACATAGGTATTTCGCAATGTGTGCACAACCGATTCGACGGACAACGCTGTATGCATTTTTTATCTTCCGGGCAAGCAAGCACGCTCATATTATATGGGGCGCAAGCGATGGTGCAGGTCCACTGCGCCAATTCGGATTGCAAATCGGGTTGCATATCAGCAGGCAAGGTCGTCACATAACGTGCGTGATACGTGCTCATCCCCAACAAAGCTTCGAGCATCTCAGGAACATGATCGAAGAACAGTCCAGTGCGTGGCTCGTATGCTCGTAGCCATGAAATTTGTTGGTTCGGAAAACCGTCCACGAATGGGAACCGACGCGCGCACACGAAGCAGATCGCGGTACCGACCTGGTGACCCAGCATGTTGGAACGGAATTTCCGCAAACAGCGTCGGTCAATAGAACAGGTCGCAAGGGGACCAGACTGTTGGCAGCGCTGCGTCAGCAGGTCCTGATATGCCTGGAATGTCCCTTGCGCGGGGCTAACCTGTGATGACCACCGCATTGCCAAGTCATGTAATGCAGTCGCATGATGCTGCGCAACGTGTTCTGCGAGCGCCGCTTGGGTTGCACACTCGAACCCACAGCTTCGAAATGCGCAATGGTAATCCGGCAAGTCATATGCCATCTCAGGGTCAGTTGCGGCATGCAGGCGTTCTGGCAACGTAGGCTTATCTGACAGAAGAGCTGCTGCATCTTGCATTGCAAGATCATATGCTGCCCGAGGATCCTTGTTTCCTTGCGACGGCGTCCAGAGCCGCAAGGGATAGATATCGTCTGCGTCAGTGCCAGCGTCGTGAAGCAGCCGAGATCCGGATGTAGGTGCTGCTGTTGGTCCGACTGGCGGTGCTTTGTGGCGCATACGGCGAGGAGGCACATTCATCTCTGTTTTGCGCGATCGATTTGCACTTGCATCCTGCTGTGTTGCTTCCCGTTGTCGAAGATTACTGCTCAGATTCACTTCACTGGTACTAGTTGGTTCTTGTCTCTCGGCTGCTGTGCTATGCACAAAGCAGGTAGCAGCTGCATCTGTTGCAGCCGTCTTGTGCCCTACATTTTCCTTCTGAGCTTTCTCCATTGAACCATCTGACAATCGTTTCCCAGCACCTTGCGTCTGTGTAGTATAGAAACCGCGCCACTGATTCGCTAATCTACGCGCGTGATGCATGCCTGCATCTGCAAAAGTCAATCCTGCCTGGAGAAGAGTGTGCAAAATTATTCCCAGCGCATCTAAGTTCCACCAAGCATCACTCACTCGCTGCGCGTCTGTCTCGTCAACTTGAACATCTGCGCCTCTTTGGTCGCAAAACCGCTGTAGGATATCACGCACTTCCGCAATCTGCGGTGCACTCAAGTCGGTCGCTGCGCCAGCGCAGTCAATAGTTCCAAACGTGTTTGCTGGCGGCGCTGCCGCGCACGTTGCATTCATGGCATTTTGTTTGCTTCCTTGGGATGCTTTATACGAGTCGCCACTTGTGAACACAGGCCGTTCTGCTGGGTTCGCAGGCAACAAGGCAGCATAACGGCCATTTCTGTAGCGATAGAGGCGGAAGACTGGTACCAGCAAGCTGTCACGTCGGCCGATGGTATAAACATCACGCGGTACACTGAGGTCAGTGGTAGTTGAATCGTACACATGTACCTCAGCATTCACCTCACCTCGGCTCCCGCTGGTGAAAAATAACACTGCTCTCGCGAGATGACGTTGTAAGTGGAAGGCTTCGTCGCCCTCTAGTTGCTCCAGTTCTAAACTTGCCTGGCATGTTCTACATAGGTGAAAGCGCGCATCCTGACGCGCAAGCAAATCTGGAAACTTTAACATATATCCATGAAAAATCAAATTTGCCAGCAGTGCGTCAAGCCAAGATGTCGCAAAAGTCGTGCCATGAAAGTACCACGCCATGTTTGCAAATACGGCTTCTGCTCTGTGATCTGCTTCCTGCTCTGCTCCCTCCTTGCTGCAGCTCGGCTTCTCAGGTATGCCACTGCTTTGCTGCGGCTCTCGGTGCAAATCATTGAGTTGTGATTCTGTTGCAACGGGCTCTGCTTCTATCTCCATTGCGTTGGTGGACGCTATGGTACGGCTTCTCTTTTTCTTTGGTTCGGCGTCACGCCCAGTGATCGGGAGCAAGCTATCAAAATGATACCCTCTACCCTGAACAGAAGTGTGGTTATAAATGTGTAGCTGCAAAACAGTCTGTTGTGGGTACCCATGGCCAAGGTTCACTGCAATTTTATTCCAGTCTGCACCTGCAGCGTGCTCACCAAATCTGTCATGCACATGAATTAGCATATTCGAGCGCGCAACAACGCGAAACCAATGCAACAAAAAGTCTACAATTCTGGGGCCATCCCGATGCGCATCCAGGAACGGGAAAAGCCCATTGCTGCCTGGAGCCACTTCGTCCCCAATCTCTTGAATCAAATGCTTTCTGCATGCAGTTGCAACGCGTCGCCTTGCTGTGACATCTGTTGTTAAGTTATTAGGCAAAATGTGTTCATACGACAGGCACAACATCAGGGAATCGATCAAGCAGTTATTCACACCGTGTGACACCGCTTTCCGCCACATGAACCCTTCAGACGCCAAAGCCTGCAATGCTTGGGTGTCGGTCTTGCTTTGGTAAGAGGCATTCTGCTGGGCAATGTCGCACAGTCGCTCCGCGATTGCAACACAACAGCGCTCTGTCGCACATTGGCGCAATTTTTTCCAGCCGTCCCAAGTTGGAACCCAACTCTGCCCGAGCACCTTTTCTGCATCATCTGGTGTGTTAACTCGAGACAGTACGATTGCTTCTACTAGCTGCCGCGCGTCGTCCCAAGGAAGCTCTACGCCTGCTGCTTCCTGTGGCGGCACCTTCAGGCCTTGTTCGTCATAGTTTCCCATTCCTCTTGGACGGTTTATTCCTCCCGTGCACAATGTCAGCAAAAAGTCGTTAAATGCTTCCTCATTCGTATGTAGCAACCTTTGGTTCTGAAAGGTTTTACTGAGACATCTTACTGCAAAAGTGTCCTTTACCTCCGCCAATAAACCATCGTCAGTTGCATGGCAAAGTGCACAGTGGAAGTGCCCTGCTTCCCAAGATCCGTGGCTATCGCACGCTCCGCGACCACACGTGTAGCAGTGCGACACATACTCATCACTCAATTGTTTTGAGACATATGCGCTTTTATATGCTAAGCACATGAAACACTGCAATTCTTCTGTACCGCCTCCTTGAAATCGCACAGGCATCGCCCCGCGCATATCAAGTGCATACTGTCTTAAGCGTTTTGCATGTTCGAGCTCAATGGACGGCTTTCTCGTGTGTGTTTGTTGTGCAGCTTTCCATGATTGCATGGCTTCTACCGATGGCGTTATCCCTTCGTCAAAGCACCACTTGCAAAAGAATGAGCTGCCCTCCCATTTTCCACATTGATTGCAATTAGCGCGCTTACAGCTGGAACACTTCGCAGAATATATTTCTTGAAAAGCACATGGCACATAATCAGGAGCACAGCGTGAACATAAGAAGCAAACTGGCGTGCTTGGAGTAGCTGAAGCAGCAAAAGAAGACGGAGAAGTAGAAGAAATTGAAGTCCAAACTGGAGCCGGTCCGCCCCCAATAAATCGATGACGAAGAGCACTGGCACCATTAGCATGATAGTGTGTACCATTCTTGTGCTTAGTGTGGTTGATCCATTCCAAATACTGGGTGTGCGTTTCCTTTATGCTGGTGGTGTTGTCTTCACAGTGGGCGCAAGCTTCGAGTAGCACAGCGTTACATTTCTTCCGTTGTCCTTTGCGGCTAAGCTTGCGCATTTCATAAGTTCCATTGCATTTTTCGGCTAAGCGCATTGTCAAAGACTGCCTGTGCGGACCCCGCATGCCACAAGCATTTTTGCTAACTCCCTTCTCTGCGGCTTCTTTAAATGTCCTCATTACTGCTTGGCAAAACTTATGTACTTTTTTAAGTGTCAATGTAACAATTCGTGCCTTCTTCTTTCGCGAGCGTCCCACCCAGCGACACAAACAAAGGCATGTTCTGTTATTGCACTTTGCCGGCACCCTTCCAGTTGCCTCTTTTTTCTTAGTCCTATGATTTCTTTTCCAGGTGTTTTTGCATTTTTGTTGCAAGGGTCTAAAAATAAATACTCCTGCTGAATTTGTTCGTTGTGACCTACTGTTGTTACATGTTACAGTATTAGGTGACTGATCCATCTGATTTCGTGGAGACAGACATAGCGCGCATGAACACATATCTTCACTGTTCGGGTTTGCTCGAGGTACTAAACGACATGTGGCCAACAAGCGCCTGCATTCTGAAGTAGAAAAAAAACTTCTTAGATAGCGTCCCATTCTTGACATGACGGTGGAAAAACGCTCGTTCTGTAAACGTATGTCACGATCCAACATTGTTAAAAATGGCATGGCCCATGCTTGATATCGATTCAGTTGATTGGCATCTCCAACACAGGCTAGTGCATATGCACGTCTGCGGCATTGACTACACCTCTCATAGATACTGCGACTAAAATTATGGTTGTGCTTTTTGTCTTTCGGTTTGCTAAATGTTTCAAGGTTGATACCATCTGGCTTCAGGGCGCCAGGTAACCCTGTCGGATTGAGGATTCCGATGTTCCTTGTTGCCAGACTTAGGGCTCTGGCCAACCCTGTCGGATTGAGGATTCCGATGTTCCTTGTTGCCAGACTTGGGGCTCTGGCCAACCCTATCGGATTGAGGATTCCGATGTTCCTTGTTGCCAGACTTGGGGCTCTGACCAACCCTATCGGATTAGGGATTCCGATGCTCCCTAGTGTGGAGATATTACTCCTTTGTTTTGGCATCACGCCACTGTGGCTGCAAGCTCCTTTCAACTTGATCTCCGCAAGTGTGCACCACGTGCCTCACAAAATCAAAGGGATCAAGATATTTAACATGGCCTAGTGCGCAACAATGTAGTCTTTACAGCAAATAACAGCGGAACGATTTCCAACACCAATAAATTCAAGCACGCGCCTGTTTGAAAACTTTCACTTTGGGAGCTTTGCAGCCATATCGAATCATGTATGCCTGATGCAGCACCAATCTTGCAACGCAAAAACGTCAGTTGGGGCAAGAACGCTGCAATCTTTATGTGAGCCTTGAAACTTCGGCAATCAAACTGCGTGGCTCTGTGGCATCTGGTGCTCCGAGCCGAACAGCTATCAAATGAAACGTTTCAACCAATTTTCATACAAGTCTCACGTTTTATGTTTCTAAGGTATTTGTGCGAAGTTTTTGACAGCAAGATTTATGAACAGTTGGGTCACAATGCGTTTTTTTACTCGCAAACATGTCACATTTCCTTCAAATTTATTAACGCTTGCACTTATCTATCGATAATGTTTATCAGTTTGTGTTGTAATTACCCAAAAGCTCTGGTTAGGCTAATTCCTGCCTATTAGGTTATTTTCGTTTTTAAGGTTAAATTCTATCTATTAGGTTATTTCATGTTCTGTCTTTTAGGTTGTTTGGCTGTTTGCCTAAATAGTTTATTTAGCCGAATATCCTAAAAACTGTCTTGTTTGAGACTTTATTTTTCTTTCACCAAACTATCTTTTCAACAGTTTCAACTAAAGACACAGTCTTTTACATGTCTTTTTGGCAAATAGTTTTTCAAATCGTTCTTTATTGTTTTGTGAATTATGTATGTCGCTTTCTTTTGATATATGCGAGTCTGAAGTGAGTTCTTGTGCTAAAGTGAATCTGTAACTTCAGTCGGATATGTTTTAGATGGGGCGAGCCGACACAGAATGGAAGCAACAAAAACACATGTCCAAAGCAATATATGAGCAAATTGGTATGTCCCAACATGAAGTGTCCTTTTTTGACACCAAAATGGTTACGTTGAAGGGAAAAAAGGTCACCTCATTTTCAGACATACTGAAACAAGAAAAAAACATTTTTTGCAACAATGGCAATGGATAGTTTTTGGGCGCGCCAAGCCAGCACATCCAAACAAAATAGTTCACTGATATATTTGCATGTTGCTGGACAGCCTCATTTTAAGCCAAAAAATGCGTCATGTCAAATTTAACTTTATACAATGTAAAATTGCGACGTGTAGCTCAAGCAGTGGATGTGTCAGTTGCTGCAAGATAGGCCCAACATGCCCCCACTTGGCACAGGATAGGCCCAATATGCCTGGGGCATGGCCCAAAAAAGATGGTTTTCCTCAACACAGAGCTAATTTTTCTTAGGTCTGGGTTGAAATTGGCTGAACATAAGCCCAAATGGCGGCACCTTTTTGATCAATATGGGCCGAACATAGGCCCAGCAAAGCCACCAAGTGACCCAACATAAGCCCACCAAAGGCCCATGACATGGTTTCGAATACAGCTTCCAACCAGGTCTGTCAAACACACATGCTATAAATGTGCAGGATAGCCACAACATAGGTGCCATTCATAAGCTGAGGCTCTTGTATTTGATCTAGCCAAGCATCACTACCAGTGAAACCACGGGCAGCCAGAAAGTCCCAAGGCTTCACAAAAGATCTTGAACCATTTTTAAACCTGTTTTGATATTCTTCCAATTTTTGCTTCCAATTATATTCACAAAATGCTGAACACCCAAATGAAACAATTTGGAAAAACGTAGCTTACTCATGAAAACGTAACAGAAAAAAGGCTATTCATATAAACAACCTAAAGCAAAAAATGTTATTTGATCATTCTGACTATCAGGTAAAACAGTTGTTTTACCTTATAAGTAATAACAAAATTTAACTAATAGTCAGAAAACAAAATATGACCTAATAGATAGAATTTAGCCTAACCAGAGCTTTTGGGTAATGCAACGCCATGCGCTTTCGGACATGCTAGAAATGGTTTGCTAGCTGTTTTTTTGTCTGCAAGCTTTGTTAGCATTTTTCTGCTGACATCAAAAAGCATCGGAATCCTCAATCCGATCGGATTGCTCCAAGCCCTGTGTCTGGCATCTAGAAGTCTCCAAAGCATCAATTCGATATGTTAACCCTTCTTGACATCAGGTTGTCTTCTTCTTTTCTATATGCGCTGAACATACGTTTCGCATTTGATGCCTCCTCTCTTGACTTTGGAGACTGTTTACTTTAGACTTCGACTGAAACACACCACATGACTTTTTAAGGTGCAAAAACCTGCAAAAACCATAGCGCACGAACCAACATAAGTGCTTCTGCTTGTATTGCAATTGCTAGCTGTTTTTTGTCTGCAAGCTTTGTTTGCATGTTTTCGCTGGCATCAAAGAGCGTCGAAATGCTCAATCCGATAGGGTTGATCAGAGCCCTTTGTCTGGCATCTGGGAGTGTCAAATTCTTCAATTTGATATCTTAACCCTTGGTCGTGGCATCCGGTTGTCTTCTTCTTTTCTACATGCGCTGAACAGAAGTCTCACATTTGATGTCTCCTCTCTTTAATTTGGAGACTGTTTACTTTAGACTTAGACCGAGGCACACCACATGACTTTTTAAAGTGCAAAAACCTGCAAAAACCATAGCGCACGAACCAACATAACTGCTTCTGCTTGTATTGCACTTGCTAGCTGTTTTTTGTCTGCAAGCTTTGTTTGCATTTTTGGGCTGGCATCAAAGAGCATCGGAATCCTCAATCCGATAGGGTTGATCAGAGCCCTTTGTCTGGCATCTGGGAGTGTCAAATTCTTCAATTTGATATCTTAACCCTTGGTCGTGGCATCTGGTTGTCTTCTTCTTTTCTACATGCGCTGAACAGAAGTCTCACATTCGATGCCTCCTACCTTTAGTTTGCTGACTAGTGCTATGTCCTCCAAAGACTACACGGCCTCTGGGCAAAGTTTCCGAACCAATGTACTTGACATGGTGACACAGTTTGGAGCAGTTAGTGTTCCAAGTCCTCATGAATAATCATGACCGCATCCGCCCCTGAGCATTGTTTTTCCATCAAAGATATGGTCTCTGTCACGCTTCAACTTTGCGCCATAATCCTGCCGGGCAGATCTGACTGGCGGATCCATGACTGCCAGGCAGCTCCACCAATGCAATCATCTACTAGTGAACTAACCAACTTAGCAAACTATGGGGCACCATCTTGGATTTAATCAACAAAACCTGGAGCGTAAAGCCCAAGCAAATGGTATTCTAGAGACTCAACAAACATAATCTATGCCACGAAACTGTGGGGATTTAACCAACAACGCATTGGAATTAATGATATGGGCCAAGCCCTATAATTGACAAATCCCCTTCTGGCGGTCTGCTTGTGACTGGGTGAAGAAAAGTGGAACCAATTTCTTTGGAATGCACAACACTAGGGCAGAATCGTATGATACGCCGGTTGGTCCAACATAGCTTTCGAGG